CCAAATCCACCCAGCCCCTCCTGCCACCACCATCGCCACGGCCCACATCCACCCAGCCCCTTCTGCCACCACCATCGACACGGCCCAGATCCACCCAGCCCCTCCTGCCACCACCATCGCCACGGCCCAGATCCACCCAGCCCCTCCTGCCACCACCATCGCCACAGCCCAAATCCACCCAGCCCCTCCTGCCACCACCATCGCCAAGGCTCCTCCCGACAACATATCAGTACCAGTTGTTGCTGGCTTTGTAGAGTGCCCCACTTGCCATCAGCCACCAAATCCTTTGGTCACGGCTGGAATTATCCCGGCGGGGCTCGCCCACATCCTGGTCCCCCCACGCTTTGACCAATCAGCCCGGAGGAGGCGGCGGCAGCAGGTTCCTTCTGGAGCACGCTGCATTACCAGTGACGAGTTTGCATCTCACCAAGCTGAGAAGGAGAGGGAAGAGAGGGAGAAGCAGGAGGCGAAGAGAAGGAGGATGAAGGAAGACAAGGAAAGGAAAGCATTGATGGAGGAAGAGAAGAAGAGGAAGCAGAGAGAGAAGGAGCAGAGAGAGAGGGAGAAGGCGCAGAGAGAAAGAGAGAGAAGGAGCAGAGAGAGAGAGAGAGAGAAGCAGAAGGAACAAGAGAGAGAAAGAATACGGAGAGAGAGAGAGAGCAGGAGTGGCTCCAAAATGACATCTGTGCAGCTTGCAAGCTGCCAAGCCCCCCAGGAACTGCAACAGAGATAGTGGAGTGGGTGCAATGTGAAAATTGCACCCTTTGGTACCACACTGAGTGTGTCACTAATGTGGTACCAGAGGAGGCATGGCTGTGCAGGGAGTGTGACATCAGTGCTTGCTTGTAAATAGTTTTGGTTTTATTATTGTATATATTATTATTGATATGTTATTGTATCAATTACATGTTCTATTTTATATTTCTATATTTACTGCATTCTTTGTTTATTTGTTTTAATAAATATGTTCATGTTCCTAAAACATTTATCAAAAGTGCATCAGTGTTTTCTTGTAGCACACAGTTTCCTAAAACCTAAAGCCATGTTTGATACAGTGACCGTTATTGACGGGTTATTATAGACCTCAGTGATAAAAAAAAATAGCATACTGAAACTAAATGATGATCTAAATGAAGGACTTTTGGTGGAGGATACAAGCTTTCATAATTCACACAGCCTATCAAATAATAAAAAGCAGAAGCTAAGTAAGTTTATCGAATAAAACATTAGCAGAGCTGCTACCTACACACCTTTGAAAACACGTGAAGTTTTTACTGAAACTAAATAGACATCCAAATCGGTTATTTCGGCCTGACAACAGATAATATACATAGCATATGAAGTAACAAACAGCAAAAGTTAAGGTAATTCACATAAATTTATATATAAACGATACCTTCATGCCGTCGAAATCATGATGCCTCGTTGTCAGTGTTGGGGAAGCTACTCTGAAACTGTAGTTTGACAAGCTACAAGCTACTCGTACGTTAAAGTAGTTAAACTACAGTCAAGTTACCGTTTTGGAAAAGTAGCTAGCTACACTACAAGTTACTATCAAAAAGTAGCTAGCTACGTTGAAACTACTTTTGCTTTTTGAACAACATATTATAAATATTATATTACATATTATTATTATTATAACATGCTATAAATTATATATTATAAATAACTGAATAAGTGTCTGATGAATGTTTTAATTAAAATATTTAGTGTTTAAAACAATGCAATACAATTATGATTTCATAGAGTATTGTTTTATTACACACAACACTCAAATATCGCAGACTGTTTGTCAAAAGTGCAAAATTGCAACAAATAGCCTACAACATTGCAAGAACAAAATATACATTTAACATAAAATGCATTTAGAACATTTTCTCAAAAATACCGATTGAACTTGGACAAATAAGGCCATGGGTAATTAACTTTAGTTGTTTCTCCATCATCCAAATCTGCGGTCACCTCTGGCTCCATCATAATCATAATATGGGTGTGTCACTGTCAACCCACTTCTTTACGTCAGTGAACCGTTAGCCGCAAGACGCGTGATTAAACAACAGGTGGCGGTAATGGCAAAAAAATGAGTTTGTAATCTAATGAGAAGAACAATATCCTTGCATCGCGGCTCGACAAACGCAATGTAGCTTTTGCTCGCGCTACACTGCTACTTGCTGCAAAAAGTAGTTAGCTACTGGAAAAGCTACACTGTTTAAAAAGCAACTGAGCTACAGCCAAGCAACTGAAAAATGTAGTTAAGTTAGTAGCGTCGCTACTTGTAGTTAACTACACTGTTAGACCTTACCAGGTTTATTACAGTAAAATACTGGCAACAGGCCAAATTCTGACACTATCATACCATTTTCCATTAAAACAGTTATATACCGTAGAAAACAAAACTAGCCTACAGGAATATACTGTGAATTAACAGCTCTCAAAGTCAACACTCAGAGACTGTGTTCCTAATCACACCCTATACCCTCATTCACTGTCTATTCCCTACATTAGTTCACTAATATAGTCCACTTGAATGAAAAGAAGTGAGTGAATTGAGACACTGATGAACACCTGATAAACAGAATCACTGAAGCACAGAGAAACAAGAACTGAGAAAGAGAAACACAAGATCTACAACTGACTTCCAGCAACACTGAGTGTGAAAACAGTTTACAAACCAGTTTAACATTATTTATTTCATACATGTACAAAAGTTCTTGTTGAGAATTAACAGAGATTTAATTAATAAAAAAAAATTTTGTCACCATAATGGAGATCAGTATTTGCTTTAGTAGTTCTCTTATCCCTGGACTTGTGACTAGTGATGGGATTTATGGCTCTTTGAGGGGATCCGGATCTTGGCGATCCGTTCCTTTCAAAGAGCCGTTCAAAAGAATGGCTCTTTTGGCTCTTTTTAAATATTTAGTATAATCACTGGGAGGAATGATGAGGTGAGATTTGTAGTCAAATAATTCAAACTCAGATATCACGCATATCTGAGTTTGAATTATTCTGAAATATTGATTATTACCTCATTTGTCACGTGTGGGCTATATTTCAAAGGGTTGCACAACATCCCTCTGCTTAGAATGTGACATCACTATTTTGTATTTACCTTTAGTACAAAGTGAGTGTATGTGTAAAGCTGTTGACTTATGTTTTTCATACAATACCACAAGAACATTTTGATAAAAAACAAAAAATATTTAAAGTTGGAAATATATACTGTAGATACAATAACATTAACATGAACACAAAATGCAATGTAAATAAATACAAGCAGTTCCTTACTTTATGGCTTTTTTAAAAAAAAAAAAAAACTGGAGTAACCATGTGATGGCGGCGTGCACAAGTTTTGGCTCCGCTCCAACCCAATGACATAGGCACGTAGGGTTATAAAAGATAATGTAAAAGATGCACGCGCGTGCACAACTATCACCCCTGCGCTGGGCGCCCCTTCCCCTGTAACTGAGGAGGTAATTGATGTGCATCTGTGTAAAACACGCATAGGAAAAAAGAACGACAGAAAGAACGGCTCCCCTCCTGCCGCGACTCGGCTCCCATCGTTCATGTTTATGAGCCGTTCAAAAGAATCGGTTCGTTCGCGAACGTCACAACTCTACTTGTGACATTTATCTCTCTCTGACTGCTGTAACAGTGAGTTTTAAAACACATTTGTTGTAGCAAAGAAAAAGTCAAGAGGAAATTGATCTGGTGTTATTGACTTTTGTGATGATGTCATGATCATTCTGGATATGTCTGATTTTCAGATCTTTCCGGTTTATACTCTTAGAATAAATGGGTACTTAATATGAAACTTACTTTAAGTTATGATTATAAAATAAATCTGAGAATCTACAACATGAAATCAATATGTTGGTTAATCATGTCTTCTAAATACTATTGTAATCACATAAAACATTTAAATAATATCCAGTTAAAGTCAGACACACACAGACATCAACAATTATAATATTCATCTCAACAACGGTAACATTCAAAAGTTTCATGCAGCAGTGCATGCTGGGTTCCAGGATTGTATAAAACTCCCAGCATGCACTGCTGCATGAATAAAAAAGAAATTGCCACCATTACTGAGATTAATGTGCTAAATTTTGATATCTTGGTGTTTCAACAACACTGTAGCGCTGTTTTGGTTTATGTATGATATGTTAAAAACAAATAGTCGTAATTAATTGCTGTGGTTTCACGGTGGTGGTAATGTAACACTTTTGGTTGAGACTGAAACTCTGAATGAGTGAAAATGAATTATTTAGTAAATGAACAGACCATGATGATTGTCATATTTTGACAAATCAAATCATTACTAAACTGTATGTCTGCACAAGTGTGACTTGCACAAAACACAGCTCACAGCGTCTAAAGAAAATCTCATATTACAGCGTCAGCAGACCAACTAAAGCAAACACTGATCTCTATGATGGTAACTTCAAGCCAAACATTTTTAAACATCTCAACAACATCTTCTATAGATGTATGACAGAAATAAAGCCATACTGGTTAATAATAAGTGTAATAATGTGTAATGGCTGAAGTCAGTTGTAGTTCTTGTGTTTCTCTATTTTCTGTTCTTGATGTTCCTCTTTCCTTCAGTGATTCTGCTTGTTAACAGCAGGTGTTCATCACTAATGCTCAACAATCACTTACATATTCCCTTAATTATCTCACTGCAACACTGCATCAATGTTAATTTTTACTCTTTGTAGTGTGGATTTTCCTGTGGGGTTGAAAGGGTTAACAGTGTAAGATAAAAATACGTTAGTAAGTTATAAAACAGGTTTATACTGGCAACACTGTTGCCAGTAGTTTACTGTAAAATCTTGTTTTTGGGGTCACCGTTGTGCTGAAGAGTAGAGCCTGAGCTTTGTAACCCACCCAATTAATTGAGGCTGTGTTGCTATGTATTTTCATGTATTTTTTTTGTTTTGTTTTGTTTATATACATATTTTTTTCCTTGCCTAATGCATGAAATGTTCAGACATATGTTTTATTTTTATTTTTATTTTAATTACTATTTTGTTTTCGCGGAGTGGTGAAAATAATTCATTGCGTCGATGGGTGCTGACGTCACATGCGCGCCAGATCATTGAAGAGAGAGACGTGAGCCACATGTGTGAGCTCTCGTTAATCAAATCCATCGTCATTAATATTGTTCTAAATCGATGTCTGAACTGTTTCATTGTATTAGGTAAGTCACAATTGGGTCATATTTTCATGTATAATGTTCAAGTTTGTGTTTGTTCATATAAGAAAATGTGGATGGTTAATGGTGTTTGTGATTGAGTATATAGTGTGCAATAGAAAACATGTAAAGCACTTATGCTGCAGTAGTATACTTGTTAAAAACTGGTTGCACATTTATGTAATGGGAATAATGTAAGTTAAAGTTATTGAATGTTAAATGCATTTTTTGCGATGGATGCTGACGTCACATGCGCGCCAGATCATTGAAGAGAGAGACGTGAGCCACATGTGTGAGCTCTCGTTAATCAAATCCATCGTCATTAATATTGTTCTAAATCGATGTCTGAACTGTTTCATTGTATTAGTTGGGATTGTTTCAACGCTCTGGGATCGTGTTTGAGTTGCGCCGTGAGGGAGAAAGCGCTGGATTTCCACTGGAGGAATTGCGTCATCAGGGACTCTTCACTCAAGTGACTCTTCACTCAAGAAACTCTTCACGTTCGGCTTTCATCACTGCACGGAGTTTAGTAGGCACTTACGCAAACAAACAAACCCAACTGAGTCATTTTCACTTTCACGCGAACTGAGTCATTTTCACTTTCACGCGAACTGAGTCATCTCCATCTTCTCAATGAACTGAGTCACATTTCGAACAAATTGAACCGAGTCACTTTACGAACAAATTGAACTGAGTCACATTCCAATGAATCTGAACTTAGTCATTTGCATGGCACTTATACTGCTGTGAACACGAACTGAATTTTCTTTATTTTTTATTTTATTTTTCTTTTATATATTTTAGTGTCCTTTGATTGGTCATTGTTTTTTTTTGTTTTTTTCGAAATGGTGATTTGTCAAATGGGATTCTAATGTGATGTGTGAAAAGCGATTCGTGCGCAATGACATTCAAGTAAACAGTTACTGTTCAGTGATCTGATTGACCTATCTGTTAATTCCTTTCATTATCATTTATTAATTCATTCTATTTTATATTGAAGTTTATTCATTGGTTTATTTAATATCATTTTCATTTATTTACTTTTCTAGTTAGCACTACAGACATTAATTTAAACAAGTGCAGACACACATCTAATTTTTTTTTATTGCAAGGTGTGAGACCCCGAACCCGGGACTCCAGATACCATTATAAACTGTGAATTATAGGTATTTGGTGAGCTCAGACCCAAGTAGATATTTTTCCTCCTTTTCTTTTTGCGGTGTTGAATCCCACTAATGGGTTACATCCAAGAATAGAGAGAGAAAAATTTGGCGCCCAACGTGGGGCTGCGCTTGTTTGACAAAATCGGGTTTTAGTCCTAATTTTCAGAATAATTTTCTTTCTTTTCTCACAATGGAATTTTGCAAGCAGCATAATTTTGATCCTGAACGGTCTGTAATACTTACAAAAGTAGATCCAAAAACTACTCTTATGGACGTGAGGCGATGTTTTGATCATCTTGATGAGGTGAAGAAAGTTGAGTGGTTAGGTGACAAATTCGCAGGAGAGCTTCTTTGCGAATTTCAGGAGGTTACTACTCCGTTAATAGCTGAAGAAGAATATTTGAATGCAGATGGCCAAAATGTATGGGGTGTTGTGCCACTAGAGGGTAGGCAGCTCGACGATATGCAACCTCACCCTAGTTCCCCAACACCAATACAGAGTAAATACTCGGGTCAAACCTTGGATGATATGGCTGATCAGCTATTGGTGCAAATAGAGAGTTTGGCACAACTTCACTGTGTAGATGTAAATGAACTAAGCCAGCAGGTTGTGACTAAGCTTGCACACATAGCTGATGGTGTTGATAGGGGCCCCTCCACTTCAACCCCTGCTCCAAGAAAGTTTGGTAATGTAATGCCAGCAGCAACGCCTACTGTAGCCGCCAATTCGGCATCAAAAGTGTCTTTTGCAATTCGAACCGATTCACCTCCTGTGGGTAGAAACACAACACATGAGACTCCTATCACTTTCACTATACCACAGGACGTACAGCGAGTAGTGGTGGAACATGTGGTGAAACATGACTCTGATTACCAGGGACATGTTCCCTTACCCCCCAAGTTGAGAATGTTTTCCGGACATTGCCCCAAGCCTAGTGGGGAAGTTGATTTCGCCACGTGGCAATTGTACGCTAGGCAGCTACTTTCCGACACTTCTCTGATGGAGAGGCATAAGAGAAGGCACATTTTGGATAGTCTCCTTCCCCCTGCTCTTAATGTTGCTCTAGGAGTAGGTACAAATGCGCCACCAGAAACGTACGCACGGGAGCTAGATAAAGCTTATGGTAGTGTCACAGGGGGAGATGATCTGTACATTCAGTTTATCGAGACGCACCAAAACCGAGGTGAAAAGCCCTCTGATTATTTGAGGCGTCTTCATTCCTTGATGCAGGAGGTGGTTGAAAAGAAGGGAGTGGTTGGCAAACATTCTGACACTTTGCTTCTCAAGCAGTTCATCAGAGGGTGCTGGGATGATGTCCTGATAACGCAGTTGCGTCTTAAAGATTTGCTATCAGATTCTTTACATCCCGATTTGAGCTATTCCAGCTTGCTTTTCAAACTGAGGTCTTTCGAGCATGAGAAGCAGCTTAAAGAGAAACGTATGAATGTCCATTTATGCATGCCTCCTGTTAGAGCGCAGAGCCAAGTGCATGTTACTGCCGATCAGGGATTTGTAGCAAACTCTGGGGAAGCACAAGTAAATCTGGCCTTGACAGAACGCATTAGAGAGCTTGAAGCTGAGGTAGCTAAAGCAAAAGCACCAAAGCCAGTTTCAGTGAAGAAACTGCCATATGATCAACACCAGTCAAAAGTGCCTAACAAGAAAGGGAGCAAAGAAGGGAAGTCCTCACGCCCTGTGCCTCAAACTCAAGCTAAGTCACTGCCCATGAGTGGATTTTGTTATCACTGTGGTGAGGATTCTCATTATTTGCAACAGTGCACTAATCCAGTGAATGCAGCCTTGGTGCAGAAAAGGCTGGTGCAGAGACATGAGCAAAGGAGTCTTCCAAACAAAGTGACGACACCCGCTGCTCATTTAAACATGGAGTAGCCTCTGTTGTGGAACAAACAGAGGCTGGAGTTGTAAAAGGTTCCATAGAAAAGACAAACCAGGTTCCTAGGGGATTAGTTGGAGAACCTTGGGAAAGTCAGGCTTGGGTGGATGGAATTGAATGTTGTTGTCTAATTGACACTGGGTCACAGGTGACTTGTGTAGCTGAATCTTTCTACAAGCAGTGTTTACAGCATAGGGGTATTACCCCCATGGTAGAACTACTCCGGGTTGAGGGGCTGCAGGGCAATTAGTCCCTTATCTAGGATACATTGAAATCGATGTCCAGTTTCCAAAGTCTGCTTGTGGAACAGATGCAGTGGTTGCCGTACTAGCGCTGGTCTGTCCTGATCAAACCTACAGTGCTCGGTCGCCCTTGTTAGTGGGTACAAATGTTCTCCGTCATCTTGTACAAGATTGTAACACGGTGCAGGAAAAGAATTACCTACCGCAAATGCCCATTAGCAGTGACTGGATGGCTGCTTATAGTACTTGTGAAGCTACTTCGACACCTTGTAATGGGGCACAGTGCCTCACCCCAGTTAGACTGTCGGGTAAGAGATCTGTAACGATCAGTAAAGGTGAAAAGTGTGAAGTGACCGGGGTGTATCGAGCTAAAGATTTCGGCCAGAGCAAGACAATGATCATTGATGAACCAGTGATGCATCATCTTCCAGGTGGTTTAGTCGTGGAATGTAAGTTGATACAAGCTGAGGCTAGAGCTCGAAATAAAGTCAAAGTGGTCATTCGAAATGTTTCAGACCACAGTGTGACCTTGCAGCCAAAAGGCGTTCTCGCTGAGTGTTCAGTGGTGGAATGGATGAAGTCTCTGCCTATATTTGATAATGCTAGTACTTCTCAAACTACCACTTCTCTGATGGCAAGTCTTATGGTAAAGGCAGACGATCCTGTGGTTCTCGATTTTGATGGTTCCCCCATTTCTGAGGAGCTCAAAGCTCGCATAGTGGGAAGAATAAACCGTGAGGCATCAAGTGCATTTGCCAAGCATGATCTAGATGTGGGACGAGTGTCAGGCGTGGCACATAGGATAGAGCTAATTGAGCATGTTCCGTTCAAAGAGCGTACTCGTCGTGTCTCTCCAGCTGACTTTGAGGACTTAAGGAAACACTTGTTAGATTTGCTGGCTAGTGAGATTATAGAAGAATCAAATAGTCCCTATGCTTCACCAGTAGTACTGGTGAGGAAGAAAAACGGTGACTTGAGAATGGTGGTTGATTATCGCAAACTAAATAAGTTGACAAAGGGAGATGCATATCCTCTTCCCAGGATCGAGGAAACCTTTACATTGCTGTCAGGTTCGAAGTGGTTTACGGTCCTAGATTTAAAAAGTGGATATTACCAGTTGGAGGTGGAAGAGAGTGATCGCCCCAAAACTGCGTTCACTACGCCATTTGGAAATTGGCAATTTCGGCGTTTACCACAAGGACTGACGAATTCTCCAGCCACTTTTCAGAGAACCATGGAGAAAGTCATGGCGGGTTTGAATTTGCAGGAAGTTATAGCTTTTCTTGACGACTTGATCATTTTCTCTGACACACTTGAAGAACATGAGGCTAGACTTATGAAGGTTCTCCAACGTATCTCCGCGTTTGGGCTTAAGTTAGCACCGTCCAAGTGTAAGTTCTTTCAAACTTCCGTCAGATATCTAGGGCATGTTATTTCTGCGCAAGGCATACACCCTGACCCAGACAAGATTTCTGCTTTGACAGAATGGCCCATCCCAAAGACTGTCAGAGATTTGAGGTCATTCCTAGGCTTTGCTGGGTATTACCGGCGATTGTTGAAAGCTACTCCCAGATAGTTAAGCCTCTGAATGCGTTATTACAGGGTGAATTCTCTACTAGAGGACGGTCAACATCATCTTACCGTGTTAGGAGTAAAGCGCAATCTCTAGCTGGGAAATGGGATAATGAGTGTCAAGTTGCTTTTGACACTATCATTCAAAAGCTCACAACAGCGCCTGTTTTAGCTTTTGCAGACTGGAAGTTACCATACATTCTACACACTGACGCTAGTGTCACTGGCATAGGTGCTGCTTTGTATCAAGTTCAAGATGGAAAGACAAGAGTGATCGCCTATGCCAGTCGTGGTCTTTCTAAGAGTGAGAAAAACTACCCAGTGCACAAGCTAGAGTACTTAGCACTCAAATGGGCTGTGTGTGAGAAATTTCACGATTTCTTGTATGGCACAAAGTTTACCGTGCTAACAGACAACAATCCATTAGTGTATGTGCTCACTACGGCTAAATTGGATGCGGCTGGCCATAGGTGGCTCGCGGCTCTGTCTATGTATGATTTTGATATTAAGTACAGAGCGGGCAAAACTAATGTCGACGCGGACGGGCTGTCTCGTCGTCCTCAAAAACCACTTATGGATGATGAGGAGGCCATACAGATCGATGAACGAGTAGCAAACTTGATAAGCAGAGCAGAATGTGCAGCAAGTGAGTTTGAAAACATCGAACATCAAGCAATCAAAACTGTGTGTTTGCGACATTCAGTGTGTTGCGAGACGCATGTCGTACAGCCGTGTGATGAGGGAGACCTGCTGGAAGGCAGCGTCATCTCGAATCCCGCTGTCGAGATGCTTCTTTGCAATGATGATGTGGTTCCTGATGATTTGATAGAACCTGAGCACTGGCCTGGACAGACTGCTTTACCCAGTATGACTCCCACAGATTGGTACCAGTTACAGAGAGAGGATGTAGCCATCGGAAGGATAATTGCCCTTGTGGAGTCTGGAGAAATTTTAGCTCATGCGGATAGACTAAAAGAATCTAAAGAAGTGAGTCTGATGCTGAGGGAAAGGCCTAGACTAAATTTAGTTGATGGCGTTCTGTATCGTACAGTATC